GTAAAGGCTAAGCCCGCAACTTAAACTAGTAGCTCGTTTATGTAAATTTGGGTAGCATCTCCCCTGTAAGAAGATCCTCCTACAATACCATATACCAAAAACAATGACCAGAGAAATCCAGCAATACATAATTATGTAAGGCCCCGTGAAATTCTTTCCTAAAAATCGGGGTTCCGTGATGCCAGGGTAGGCCTGATGGGTTGGCACAGAACATAGAAATTCCTATGTGGAAGTGGGAAATAATTAATATGGATTTTGTGGTAGGATTACCACTCACTCCTCGCAAGTTTGACTCAATTTGGGTGATTATGGATCGGCTCACGAAATCAGCAAAATTCTTGCCAGTTAAATCTACCGACACAGGGGAACGGTATGCTCAGATGTATATCAAGAAAATAGTCAGGCTGCATGGCACTCTAGTTTCTATCATTTCCAAACGAGGGGCTCAGTTCACGGCAAAATTTTGGAAGCAATTTCAGCAAGGTTTGGGTACTGAGGTGAATCTTAGTACAACCTTCCATCCACAGACCGACGGGCAGGATGAGTGGACTATTCAGACACTTGAGGACATGTTGCGTGCATGTGTTCTTGACTTCAAGGGTAGCTGGGATGATCATTTTCAACTCATAGAATTTGCATACAATAACAGCTTATATGGTATGAGATGTAGATCTCCCATTGGGTGGTTCGAGATTTGGGAAGCTGAGTTGATAGGACCAGACCTCGTGCATCAAGCTATGGAAAAGGTTAAGATCATTAAGGAGCGGTTGAAAACTACCCAGAGTCGTAAAAAATCCTATTCGGATATTTATCACAGAGACTTAGAGTTCAAAGAAGATAATTAGGTATTCTTGAAGGTTTCACCCTTGAAGGGTATAATGCGGTTTGAAAGGAAAGGGAAATCGAGTCCGAGGTATGTCGGGCCGCACAAAATCAATCAGAGGAATTGTCAGGTGGCGTACAAGCTTGAGCTACCACCCGAGATGTCATTAGTGCACCCGATATTCTATGTGTCTATGTTGAAGAAGGTAGTTAGAGATCCGTCAACTATTGTGCCGGTTGAGACCATTGAAATTAATGAAGAACTGTTATATGAAGAAATTCCAGTTGCCATTCTTAATAGGCAAGTCCGAAAGTTGAGGAATAAAGAAATTTCCTTAGTGAAGGTGTTGTGGCGAAACTAGCAGGTTGAAGAGGCTACTTGGGAGGCCGAGGAAGAGATGAAAGAGAAGTGTCCTTACTTGTTTGTATAAGCTATATAACCTTTCTATAAACTGTCGCCTATGGATTCTTGTATCACTTGTTCAGTTAATGCAAAGGTGCTTCTTTCTAAATATATTGTATGTGAGGCCACGTTTGGTGTTGTTATGAGTTATGTTACGTCATTGGTTTATGTATATGTTTTAAGGATGTGTTTCTGGGGCTCTTTGACAGGTGGATAGGCTTAGTTACAGGGGAAACTCTAGCGATAACTTTGGAAATTTAGGGAGTTAGTCAAATTTGGGCTTGCTGGTGTGTGGTATGAAAACTGAGTTGCATACGATGCTAATAGTGAACCATGACCCTCATTCGAGGATGAATGATCTTAAGTTGGGGAGGATGTAAGGCCCCGTGTAATGTTTTCCTAAAAATCGGGGTTCCGTGATGCCCGCGTAGGCGTAGAGGTTAATAATAGTAGAAATACTTCGCGGCGATCTTGCTCGCCGCAGTTCGGACTTATTAGATTGAATAGTGCCCTGGGGAGTTGAAGGAAAATATTTTGCAAAAATGGGCATTTCTGCGGCCCATTATGGGGCTGCATAATCACTCTGTGGGCCGCAGAGTGAAGCAGCTACTTGGCCATTATTTATGTCAATTTCACGGTCAGTTATGCGACCGTACAACCATTTCACGGGCCGCACTTTGATCGCATAATCAGCCTTAGAATTTTTGCAGAGGGAGGTTCTGCGATGCATTATGCGACCGCAGAACAGGTCTGCGGGCCGCATAACTACCGCAGACCCAGGCAGATGTTTTCCAGTTTTTGGCACCAAATTATGTGGCCGATATGCGGACCGCATACCCTGTTCCGGAGCTTCATTTTTGGGGTTTTTAAACCCGACCCTATTTCGTTAAAACATATACCATAGTCCATTTTCAGCAAAATTTCTAATACTTTTCGAGTGAGAAAGAGTGCTTAGAGTGGGGGAGTAATCTTCAACATATTATCCATCAATTCTTGCTAAATCATTGAAGATTAACAAGGAAAGTCTTCATCGTAAAGGTAAGAGTCTATGCCCTAGCTCTTAAATTCGAAAAGTTACAAAATATGGGATAATTTGAAAGACAATTCTTGGGTGTGGGAGTTGTTATCTTGCATGCATGAGTTATCAAATAATGTAGGAAGGTTGTGAGCAAAAAATGGTAGAGAATGGGTTGAGGGATGATGGAATCTTTCGTAAAAGGGCCTTAAAAACCTTAATGCACACCTAGTGCTTGATAATATGCTCAAATGAGCTAGAATCATGATCATCTTCCAAATTTTGGTCCAACTTGTTATATTTCTAAAATAGATCAAAATGCTAAGAATTATGGAAAGTTTTAAACTTTAAAGGAAGCTCAATTGAGGTATGTTGGCTAAACCCCCTTCTTCTTAGAATCGAATCCCACGGTGTTCATGTAATTGGTATAAGTCCCAAATTGATCATTATAGAATTGGCTATTCCTAATGTATTTGTGTTCAAGGATGTATGTTCAATATTTATTCTAAATGCTTCATCATGTCATCTTGTCATTTGAGGATGTGTTCAAAATATGGAATATGTGTTAGAAATGTTAAGACTTCATGTCAAGATCGAATCCAAATTGTATGAAATGCCTCTATGTGCTTAGGATTCCCAAATTGCTAATATGTGTACTAATGCCTTAATGGTAAGTCTTATTATTGTTGATGATGATAATTATGTTTGAATGTGGAAAGGGGAAACTGGAATTATGAAATACGGCCAAGTGCCAAGAATGACTTTCTAATTGAGGCCACTCGTGCCAATGTATTGAAAAGATGTGAATGAAGTATGAAGTGAGATGATTGATTGAAAAGGTAATATCTCGGGTGAGACGGCCTAGCCGGTCGGGCCTTGATCGGTCGCCATGCCGCACACATGGTGGTGACTGTGCTAGAAATGACAATTGAAATTTGTGGTTATGGTTGATGTCTCAAATGAGACGACCTAGCCGATCGGGTTGTGATCGTACTCCTTGTTAGAATACGGTGGTATTGTGAATTATGGTATATCGGTACTAAAGATCACCCAACCTAATAACATGGAAATTAACTTGAGAACTTATGTGATCCTTACTTGATGTTTTAGTATTGTTTGAAGGTCTTATTGAACTTATGACTGTTTCCCCATTGTATTATTATTCATTCTATTGAGATAGTGTTTAGTTTTACATACTAGTACTATTCGACAGTACTAACGTCCCTTTTGCCGGGGGTACTGCATCTTTAAATGGATGTAGGTGGTTCCATAGCAGGCAGTGTTGATCAGCCATAGTGATACATCCTCTTCCCAACAGACTTGGTGAGCCTCACTTCATCCCGGGATCATGTATTGTATCTTTCGTTCATATTATTATCACGTTTTGAGGTATAGCCGGGGTCTTGTTGCCGGCACTATCATAACATTCTTTTTTATCTTTTAGAGGCTCCGTAGACGCTATGTGGGTTGAACATTGGTGCTAGAAAAGTCAAACAGATTATGTTGTGTTTTATCTCTTGCTCCACTCGAATCATAAGAATGTGTGTATCGTGAAACTTAAAAGTGATGTAACCAATGAGACGATCTAGTATTGTATATATGATCTTCCTACTGTCTAATTAATGAAATCATGTCTTCTCTTGATCATGGGTGAGTTGGGTAGAAAGTATCTAACATGCTTGCTCGACCGGGTTCACTCGGTTGAGCACCGGTTGCGCTTCCCGAGTTTGGGGCATGACAAACTTGGTATCAGAGCCTAACGTTTTAAAGTGTCCTAGGATGTCTCGGAGCCGTGTCTAGTAGAGTCCTCCTTATCGGTGTGTTGCCGACCACATCTATAAGTTGAAGGCTACTTGGACATTTAGGAATAATAGCCTTCTTTCATATTCTGGATCGTGCGATGAAACGGATTGTGAAACTGTTCCTCCTCTAACTCATGCATTCCTTTAACTTTCATACATGGCACCTAAGAAGAGAGCAAGAACTGGCCAAGGAGCCAATGTCGCCTCAGAAATGGCAATTGACCCTTTATTTGATGATGCGGGTGAATACCTGACAGGTGGGGATAATCCCCTGACTGCTACACTACCTGATTCCACTACGTCTGACAAGGCCACACCAGTTCCTACACCTAATGAGGGTGAAGCTATTCCTCCAACTGATAATCCGGTTCCACCTCTATCCCCAGCTTCCAGTTCGGGTATTTCTGACGGGGATCTTAGGGAAGCTATCCAGATGCTCACATAGATAGTGGCTTCTCAGGCCCAGAGATCAAATGTTGCACCCACTTCTTTTAGCCAACAAGGGGATTTTAGTGGTCCAGGGTGAACAGGTTTCTTCAGTTGGATCCTCCGGTGTTCACAGGTGCTAATCCCGAGGAGGAACCACAGGACTTCATTGATGAGATGCATAAGACTCTCCAGGTTATGCGCGCTACTGAGACAGAGGGAGTGGAGTTGGCCGTCTACCACCAGAAAGGGGTGGCCTATTTTTGGTTTGAGCTGTGGGATGACTCTCGGGAGGAGAGGAGCCCTTCAGTGAGGTGGAGTGAGTTTGCTAACGCTTTCAAGGACCATTTCTTCCCGGCCGAGACTAGGGCAGCCCGTGCCGCAAAGTTTGAGAACCTTAAGCAAGGTAGTAAGAGTGTGTGAGAGTATCACATGGAGTTCGCGCGTCTGTCTAAATATTCCATTCTCATGTTGCTTACTATGGAGGCTAGAGTGCGCCGGTTTGTGCAGGGCCTTAGCCCCTTGGTTATCAATGAGGCCGCTTGCTGCCTTGAATTCAAATATGAACTATAGGAAGATGGTAGCATTTTCTCAAGCTACAGAGAACCATAAGTTGAAGAATAGAATTGAGCGTGAGGGTACCAGCAAGGCCCGGTCCGCGGGCAACTTTGGGGAGTCATTTGGTGGGGGAAGATCAGCTTTTAGGGGAGGGTCATCAGGGCCATCCCAGTCTTTTGCTCAGTCTTCAGCCAGTGCACCATCAGCAGGGCCCAGTCATTAGCAGGAAAGTCATTTCAGGCCCAATTAGGGCAGCAAGGGACCCCACCAGTAGGGCCGATCAGGAGGGATATTCCAGCAGCAACGGAGGCCCCCATCCCCAGGTGTGGGAAGATGTACTTGGGGATATGCTACATAGACCTACCTATATGTTATGAGTGTGGATTGAGGGGTCACATTCAGAGGGAGTGTCATTCATCCCGCCGGGGTGCGGGCAAGGGCACAACACAACTATCCAGTTCTGCAGCTGCTACATCTTCAACACCCCCTCCACCTCGAGGCACTCCAGTGCCAGTAGGGCGTGATGTAGCTAGGGGTGGTGCGTAGAGTTCAGGAGGACCCAGTCGTTTCTATGTTATGAGTGGTCGCCAGAGTGCAGAGGCTTCTCCAGATAGTGTCACATGTATATTGACTGTCCAATCTCATGATGTATATGCTCTTATTGATCCCGGTTCCACTTTGTCCTATGTTCCCCCATATGTTGCTATGGAATTTGGGATAGAACCAGAACAACTTCCTGAGCCGTTCTATGTATCTACTCTGGTTGGCTAGTCTATTGTGGCCGCACGGGTTTATAAGGGTTGTGTTGTCACGTTACGTGGTCGGGACACCGTGGCCGATCTCATTGAATTGGGGATGGTCGATTTTAATGTAATTATGGGAATGGATTGGCTTTATTCATGATTTACCAAGCCCGATTGCCGAACTAGAACTGTGAGGTTTGAATTTCCAAATGAGCCAGTTGTTGAATGGAAGGGGGATAATGTGATGCCAAAAGGTAGGTTTATTTCTTACCTTAAGGCCACGAAGATGATTAATAAGGGGTGTATCTATCATTTGGTCCGGGTTACGGACACCAATGCTGAGGCGCCTACACTCGAGTCTGTGCCAGTGGTGAATGAATTTCTAGAGGTCTTTCCTGATGAGCTCCCTGGGATTCTGCCAGACAGGGAGATTGATTTTGGGCTTGATGTGATGCCAGGCACGCAGCCTATATCTATTCCGCCCTACAGGATGGCACTAGGAGAATTAAAGGAGCTAAAGGAACAATTGAAGGATTTGTTAGAGAAGGGTTTCATCCGATCGAGTGTGTCATCATCGGGCTTACCGGTTCTCTTTGTGAGGAAGAAAGATAGATCACTGAGGATGTGTATTGACTACCGGCAGCTCAACAAAGTCACAATAAAAAACAAATACCCATTACCAAGAATAGATGATTTGTTTGATCAGTTACAAGGTGCTAGGTACTTCTTCAAAATTGATTTACGGTTCGGATACCACCAATTGAAGACCAGGGAGCAGGATATTCCGAAAACACCTTTTAGGATCCGGTATGGGAACTTTGAATTTCTGGTAATGTGTTTTGGGCTAACAAATGCCCCGGCAGCTTTCATGGATCTTGTGAATCGGGTTTTCAAGCCTTTTCTCAATTCCTTTGTGATAGTGTTCATTGACGATATTCTTGTGTATTCACAAGGTCGAGAGGACCATGCCGATCATCTCTGGGCAGCTTTGCAGACTCTTCATTAGCACTAATTGTGCGCGAAATTTTCAAAATGTGAATTTTGGCTCGACTCTGTCACATTCTTGGGTCATGTTGTCTCGAGAGAAGGAATTAAGGTTGATCCTCAAAATATTGCAGCGGTGAAGTATTGGCCTAGACCTACAACTCTAACCGAGATTCGTAGTTTCTTAGGCTTGGTATTACAGAAAGTTTGTGGAGGGGTTCTCTACTCTTGCCTCACCGTTGACTAAATTGACTCATAAAGCGGTTAAGTTCCAATGGTCTGATGCTTGTGAAAGAAGCTTCCAAGAGTTGAAATTAAGATAGACCACGATGCCGGTGTTGACCCTGCCAGAGGGTACAGATGGGTTCGTTGTATATTGCGATGCTTCAAGGCTCGGTTTTGGGTGTGTGCTAATGCAACACGAGAAGGTTATAGCTTATGCTTCTAGGCAACTCAAGAATCATGAAAAGAACTATCCAACACATGACTTAGAACTTGCAGCGGTGGTTTTTGCATTGAACATTTGGCGTCATTATTTGTATGGGGTCCATGTGGATATATTCATAGACCACAAGAGTCTTCAATACATTTTCAAACAGAAGGAGCTAAATTTGAGGCAAAGAAGATGGCTTGAGTTACTCAAAGATTACGACATCGATATTCTGTATCACCCGGGGAAAGCCAATATGGAGGCGGATGCTCTTAGCCGGAAATCTATGGGTAGTTTGGCTCACTTAGTGGCATGTCAGAGGCCATTGTCCAGCGAGGTTCACCAGTTAGCTAGTTTGGGAGTTTGTCTTGCGGACTCTAGCGAAGGAGGGATAATTGTGAAAAATAGGGCTGAACCATTTCTTGTTGTGGAAGTCAAAGAGAAGCAATACGACGATCCATTATTGGTAACAAACATAAAACTATGGCTTTTACTCTTGTCACGGATGATGGTACACTAAGGTACCAAGGGCGGCTATGTGTTCCAAATGTAGATGGTCTCCAGGAAAGAATCATAACCGAGGCTCACACTTCCAGGTATTCCGTGCACCAGAGCTCTACAAAGATGTATCATAATCTCATGGAAGTCTATTGGTGGAATGACATGAAAAGGAATGTGGCGGACTTTGTGGCAAGGTATCCGAATTGTCAGCAAGTAAAAGCCGAACACCATCGGCCTGGTGGGTTGGCAAAGAAAATAGAAATTCCTATGTGAAAGTGGGAAATGATTAATATAAATTTTGTGGTAGGATTATCACACACTCCGCGCAAGTTTGACTCAATTTGGGTGATTGTGGATCGGCTCACGAAATAAGCACACTTCTTGCCAGTTAAATCTTTCGACATAGCGGAATGGTATGCTCAGTTGTATATCAAGGAAATAGTCAGGCTGCATGGCACTCCAGTTTCTATCATTTCCGATCGAGGGGCTTAGTTCACGGCAAAATTTTGGAAGAAAGTTCAGCAAGGTTTGGGTACTCAGGTGAATCTTATTACAACATTCCATCCACAGACCGACGGGCAGGCAGAGCGGACTATTCAGACACTTAAGGACATGTTGCGTGCTTGTGTTCTTGACTTCAAGGGTAGCTAGGATGATCATTTGCCACTCGTAGAATTTTCCTACAACAACTACTTTCATGCTAGTATTCAGATGGCACAATTCGAGGCATTATATGGTAGGAGATGTAGATCTCCTATTGGGTGGTTCAGATGTTACACCCTATATTTTCGTACGTAAAAATGCATCGTAAGCAGACTAATGTAGGACCAAAAATGAGATAATATTTAAAAGTATATAAAGTAATTTAATCATGTTACCTCTGAGGTTACAAATATTGAAGATCATGAACAACAAGTACAAAGAGGGTTGGACAGTTCAGAAGCTAAAGCAATTAAATAAAACAATGTTTCGTCGAAAGTCGACAAGTTGGGAATGTTATAACATGTACCTTTGGGGTGAGACTAGGGTGATTAACATGATAAGGAGATTATGTTATGATTTATATTAGTCGTATGACATCCGTGTGTTATGTTTTGAAGTCAAGCGAGTTGTGGAACAAAAGTCGATGAAAGTCATCACAAGTTACATTCATAAGTTTTACTGAAACTTTGGGTCAAATGTAACTGCGATTTTCTCCCAATATACTTAGAGTTATGGGGTGTTCCACCCATTAACTTAAAGATCTATGAGTCTATTTTCCAACGCATTAAACCGTTTTTCAATACATCATTGGAGTAGAAAGATATGGGCATTTGTGCGATACTGCGCAAGCTGCTAGGTGACAAGTAGGTGTGTCACCTACTTGCTTAAATGAAAGCCCAAAAATGGGCCATTCCGGGTCGTCCAAAGAGGCCTTTTAAAGGCCTATTTTCTTCATATATTAAAATTAAAATAGAGCATAATAACCAGACATAAGCTCTGCAAAGAATCCTCCCAAATATTTCCCACAAACCCTAATTGATTTTCTCTCCCTTTCAAGTTCTAATTGGAGGTAAAACCTAGAGTTTGAAGAACCAGGATAGGAGCTGAGTTATCCAACAAATAAGGTGAGTTTACTGAACTCTTTCATCCATTTTTTCTTCTGTAAATTCATGGTATGTCATTCTATACTTGTAATAACTCACGGGACGGTGATCGGAAGCCGTGAGTTTGAGTTATTCACTTGTAGCGGACTGTTTTGTGGACTGTTTTGTGTTGCTGTTGGGCTGTGTGTTTTACTACTGTTTTGTGGATTTTTGGACGAGGAAGGGGTTGTAGAAACACCATATAAATGTAGGGTGGTTGGCTGGTCATTCGTCATAACATTTCTGGGTCGTTTGACACTACTACGGTGGTCGTTTTGTGTATGA